GAGCATGGGGGATACCTTCACAAAGCTGTTTTCCACCACTATGGCTTTCCACGCCACTAGCCAAGCTTAGCCCCTTAGAGTCAGCTTCATTAACAAAGGGTAGCCCTGGCCCATATCGCTAAATGAGAAAATTGGACTGAGTTGTCAGAAACAAAGATGATGACAGAAGTAACCATCCCGGATGCGCACTAATGCTGAGGCTTCCTATTCTTTTGCTCTTCACGTTAAGAAACACACTGTTTGTGTTGGGGCTCTGGGGGTGTGTGTTGCTGTGCATGCAGGTAGTCCGCAGAAGCAGTCAGGAGGAAAAGCTACTCTGCTTGGTGCGTGAGCGAGCAGGCCACACGTGTGAGACAGCCGTGATCGTGATTCTCATCCTGGTCTGGGAGGGAATCCCAACAAGCCTGGCTGACAAGCTCTACTCTGAACTCACCGAGACCCTGAGGAAGTACGGCACGCTCACGAACCGGCGTTGCGCCCTGAATGAAGAGTAAGTGGAACAAAGGGTATGCTTGCCAAACTTGCAAGCCCACTTTTGGCCTCAGACCATTCACCTCCACTCGTGCTATTGCCCTGAAATACACATAACCTTTCCAGCTACTGCAGGAAGTCTGAAAACCCACAAACCTTGTGATCAAAGCAAAGTGAATGTTCTTATAGATCTGGGAAAAACATCTTCCCAGAGTTGTGAAGCATCTCAGTGTATTTAAAGGAAGAGATCTCAGCCCAGGACAGCAAATACCTCAACCTTGAAATAAAAACTAGATGCACTAAAATCATGCTGTAAGCCTACAGAAGCTAGCCTGAACCTGAAGAAACTGCAATGTATTGTTTCCCATGTCTTTCTGACAGCAAAGAACATTTAGACCCAAATTAACATAGCTATCATTGTATGTTACTTGGCTTCATGGGTAGAGTCATATTTCAGGAATTATTGCCTAGCCCCTGTCAGAGTGCTTCCACATTATTGCAGTGCCATGAGCATATGCCCCTTTCAGGTACCATGAATATCAGTACCTAACAAGGCACCACATGAAAATACCTGCTTTCGAGCAAAGCCAGGTTTCTCACAGAAGTGTAGAAACCCCTTAGTCCTGGCTTTGCAACCATGAAATTATTATCTCCAATAAATTCTCCTGTTCTAATGCATACAGTGCCTCCCTCTTTCATTTCTTCATTATTTACTGGTGGCAGGTGATCCAAGACACATGACTCCCCAGAGCGCTGGCAGAACGCCGATGCCCACTGCGGGAGCACCCTGGGGTGACCCACCTGCTCCTAACAGCCATATTCTCTTGTTTTTCAGGCGGACTTGCGCATGTCAAGGGCTGGACCCTGAAACTTGTGGTGCTTCATTTTCCTTTGGTTGCTCCTGGAGCATGTACTACAATGGTTGTAAGTTTGCCCGAAGCAAGATTCCAAGAAAGTTTAAGCTGATGGGGGATGACCCAAAAGAGGTTGGTGTCCATTTCTAAAATGAGCCTCATTTGCAAGGAGATGTTTTCTGTCACTCTGCAAATAGAGATACAGTACAAGAGACCAGGGGCCAGAGTCCTGCCTGCATGGCATACATGTAGGGTAATTAAATAACTGCCAGACAAAACTGATTGATTCCAGTCTCCGAGCCAGCTGAATTGACTGTCCAAATTCTGACATCTGGTAAAAGCCTGAGACTTGAAACCACATTTGCAGGCTTTCACAATTAGAGGGGAGGGCACAGCCTGAATAATTGTGACTGCATGAGGCCTGCAGTTGAGCATTCCCCAGTGGCAGAGTGGATGGTTTACCAGCTGAAGGCACATAATAGTGTAGTGAGGAGTCAGAGCAGCATAGGGACAAACATGATGAAACTGTGAGATGACAATAGGAAGAGAATAGGAAGATTCATTTTACATACAGTCCTGTCCCACTGAATGTTTCCAGACTGGTCTCTGTGTTACAGCAAACTGGCAACTGTTTAAAACAAGTCAGAGTAATTAAAAAAAATCACTGACCTTAGCCTGGGCACAAGATACCACTGAAGTCATGACTGCAGTGACTCCTGGACACTTCCAGCTAGTCACATGTCTGGGAGGTTCCAGTGACCTACTCTGGTTTTTGACAAGCGCATACAAATCCCTTGGTTATGTACTGATGCATGAGTCCACAATTTTCACTGTATTCTGGTGTCTTACACAAATCCAGACATTTCTTCCACCAGAGAAATAATTTCATCTTTAATCAGGGAGCCAGGTACTTCTGCATCCTACGGCCTGTGCCTGTGCTGAGAATAGCACACTGTTTAGAATATCATAGAATCCTAAATGGTTTGGGTTGGAAAGGACCTTAAGATCATCTAATTCCAACCCCCTGCCTTGAGCAGGGACATCTCACACTGGACCGTGTTGGCCAAGGCTCTGTCTTGAACATTGCCGGGGATGGGGCATTTACCACTTCGTTGGGCAACCTGTGCCAGTGCCTCACTTCCCTCACAGTAAAGAGTTTCTTCCTTATATCTAACCTGAATTCCCCTGTTGAAGTTTGAACCTATTACCCCTTGTCCTATCACTACAGTCCCTGGTGAAGAGCCCCTCTCCAGCATCCTTGCAGGTCCCCTTTGGATATTGGAAAGCTGCTATGAGGTCACATAATTAGCATACAGCTTTTCCTCCCCACCACTGCTCTTCTACAGCCCCAAGATTTACAGAATAGCTCTCCTTCAATCGTGCTGTGGCACAAAGCCTTCTTTATCAGAGCTTGCAATCCTAACTCCTCTAAATTTTCTAAGCTGGATACCTGGCCAGAGCTCACCAGGGCACTCTTCCAACTTGCATTCTTGGATTTACTTCCCATGGAAGCCAGATCTGGGCTGGGAAGATGGTTTTACCCTCCAGTCTTGCTGCTACACAAAACTGGGGGCAACCAAAGCATGCACCCAGAGCAGGGACTGGGTCCCATAGCACAGACACAGCTTACGGACAACCCAAACAGGATCTTCACCAATAAAATTATAGAAGTAACACTTAAAAATGGCAACCTGCAAAAGGTCCAAGTTCTGGCAACAGCACAAGGTCACAGCAAGATATTTCTGACAATTTTATAATGTCATTTTGGAGTCCCAAACTAGGATATAGTCCCATAGGAGTAAATAAAAACTTAATGCACCAAACATCTCTCTCAAACGCGCAGGCTTTTCACAGCTGTTCACACATTCCTAAAATACGCAAGTATACCACTTCAGTATGCCACTGTTCTTTATGTGCTTGTAATTAAATATAAGGGCCTCATATAAGCGAGGTTTTGAATTTGGGATTCTCATCCTGAAAGGATGGGAACAACTCTGGAGTATGTTATTATGGTACTTCATTTTTAAAGAGCCTTTCATTTTGAGAGTGTGTACCTCTCTGTAAAGGAAAAAAGTGTAGTCATTCCTACCTCCATATCACCAACTACTAGGCATGTCCACAATTCTTCATTGCTTAAGAACTGGGAACCTTCTGAAGTCTGAAATATTTAAACCATTTTAAATTGCTGCATGAAAAGATGTTGAAGTGCTGTCATTGCAATGTGCAAACCCCTCAGATTAGCCACATCTACTTTATGGACCATTCTGATACTATTTCTCCCAAGTTTCTGAAGAGTATTATTTTCCCAAAACTCCAGTAGGGAAAATAATGAGGATCATCACACTTAGATCTAAGACATTAGTGTGTGAAAGACTGATTCTTCTTAATATTAACCAAGTTAATATAGTATGTGATTTCCTCTTGCAAGGGTCACACTACACTATTTCACTACTTCATTACTTTAAGTGCAGTGAAACAATAAAATTGAAAGGAGAGTCACAACAGTTGTTGTCTAAACAGGAATAACGGTCTAGGCCTTTATACAACTATCAGTGTAAACATAACTGTGTACAGACCCTAACTTCTTAGATCCCATACATGCAGTACGGAAATGTCATTGGCATTGAAATCTCTATTTCATCTCCTAACAGGAAGAAAAACTAGAGTCCCATTTGCAGAACCTGTCAACCCTGATGGCACCTACCTACAAGAAACTTGCACCTGATGCATATAACAACCAGGTATGCTGGGGAAAAAGGGAATTGGAGCGGTCATGTAAATAACCTGATCTTTACCACACTTTCCAGTGCTTCAACCTTGCCCCAGATTATCACATACATTTTGGGCCAGTATTCCTTTGACACTGGAGTTAAGATGAATGGAAAAGAACAATTCCACTTAAAATGCTTTCAAAAGTAAAAGCAGTAGAATTTGGTGCATCAAGTAGAACTTTTCACCTGCATCAACACCATAAAGCTACTTCAGATTTGATCAGAACTCTTCAGCTCCACAACACAAATTTCTGGATTTAGTGTGAGTAACCAGCCAAACTAGAAAACAGCCATGAAGATGGTGTGAGATCGGTGGCAGAGCCAGAAGGCAGTGTGTAATATTGCACTCGAGTCCTGAAGCCACAGTTTCAGTTCTGCTCTCTCAAGTGGCAGGTGAATTTAGTTTTCACCAAAACAGCCATTTCAAACATGCTTTTAACAAGAGGTTTCACATTTGGACACACTCAGCCCTGCCTATGCGCACAAGTGCCTGCACCAGTCTTCCAGCATGAGGGCATCACGTGCACGTATTTTCTGTGAAGCAGTCTCCACAGATACTAGCACATTCAAAGTCTGTATGAGGTTCCCATCATGGCTGTCTCTCACCTGCATTCCTCTACCAAACATCCTTCAGGTATTTGCATCAAAATTTAATACCTGTTGCAAGCGCACAACCATTGTCCTTCATTTTTGCTGCTCAGGTTTGCTACAACATTGCAACAGAAGTTACGAGTCCCCAAACTATCAGCGTCACTGCAAACTATGACATCTTTCTGTCCTGCTGACAGTGTTATGATGTAGCAACCACCACAAGACACATTTAAATCTCACTCCTTTACTTCATATTTAGTATCAACTAGGCAGGGTAAGCAGATTCAGGGGAGACTTGCCCAATTTCGCTTACCTGATCAGACAATGTTTGGAGCCTCACGGAGGAAACTGTGGCCGTGTGCCCACGAGCTGTGGTTATCTGTCCACGTATCTAAGAGACATTCTGCAAGAGAGGAAAGGAAGAGGAAGAAGAAAAAAAAAGCGAGGGAGTGGTGAACAATAAAATGGTTCTTTGCTTGGTCTGCTTCTCCATTACTGCAAAACTTCGCAAAAGAACTTTTCTCCATGTAAGCCACGGTCCTGCCCAACACTTGTTGAAGATACATGCTTTTACAAGTTTCAGTTTCTACCTTGTGTAATAAGGTGTGTGCATGGCTTGGCTTAAGTCAGGAGTTTTATGCAGACTTTGTGGGGAAACCCTGATCAAGCTACTGTTAGTGGCTTTTAAGAGAGGTGACTGAGGCTAAATTTGAACGGTAATATGAAAGGTTCTAAACCCAGAAAGCCTTAAAACCAATCCCCCTCTGAAGCCTGAAAAGAAATTCTAAATTCCCAGGTTTATTCTAATCCAGGTCTGGATTGCTACTGGATTAAAATGTAGAACTGGAAAGGGTGTGTTTTTCTAACTGGACCCAACAGCACATCTCAGAGAACAGTTGCACCAGGATACTTTAAGCAGACAATTATAGTCTGGCTGACATTTCAGATCACTCTCGTTTCATTCTAAAGAAGTTTACATGTTTCAAGTTTTGGTTTGTGGTTATTTTCAGATTCGAGGGACATAAACATTCCAAATTTTAAAAAATAAAGGTCTATGAGCAAACTACACATCTTTTTAGGGAAAAACTTCTACTTTCAACTTAACTTAAAATGGGATTCATTAAATTCCATTATGTTCCATTAAGTTTAGATTTTTTTGCATTCACTTGAAAGGTTCAGGAATTTCAGCAAAGCATTTTACAAACATGGCTTAGTTTTTTACTTTCTAGACAAAATACAAACCCATCATTTGTCTAAGGCTTGATCTTCTATTACAAAATCCTTTCTTTTTGTGTAAGGTTTATTTTTTCATTATGAACTCTTTGTAAAGCTCCTTAATAATGAGTGCTTGGGTAGAAAGCGCTCTCTTGACTCAATTATCTGTCTTTTTGGTCTAGGGTTAGAGTTGTACTTTAGCTAACGAAATATACGTTTAGTGTACCAAAATATTACAAATCAAAAAGCAAATTATTATTTTTCATGAAGTCATTCTGAAGTCAGTTTTCTAAAGCCATTTTCCCTTAATAGCTTGGTGTATTTCCAGTCTACACAAACACATCACTCTTACAGTGCCAGACTCTGAAACCATGCACTGCATTTGTCATGTAAAAACACCAACCACTGGCAGAGTATCAAAAGTAATATGCAAGGAAAAGTATTACTGGCCAATTTCACAATCAAACCAGAGACATAAGGTAACAGGGAGCAAAGCAGCAAGGAATGAAGTATGGGTACTAAATTGCCATCAAGTTACTTGATTTTAGTTGCTTTCAAAATCTGTGTGTTGCCACCTCCAAGATGTTAGTAGACTTGCATGTTGTCACAGTAGAGTGTTCAGTGCTAATTCTGTGTACTGGGACACACAGCTCAGCTGCAATGATATCTGTCACCTCTTTCCAGATCGAGTATGAACACAGAGCACCTGAGTGTCGCCTGGGTTTAAAAGAAGGTCGCCCATTCTCAGGGGTCACTGCCTGTCTGGATTTTTGCGCTCATGCTCACAGAGACTTGCACAATATGCAGAATGGGAGTACACTGGTAAGTCTGAGATGCATGTAAGCCTCCTTACGCCAGCACTAATTTCATACATTTAATTCATTATCTCCCCTCTGTTTAAATTTACGCTTACGTTAACGCAGATTGCTAACAAAAGAAACATTAAGCAGTAACTGAGCTGACTTACTACCCCCCACACAATTTTTCATTCAAATGAATGAGACGTACGATGTATTTAAGAAAGCTTTAATATAGAGCTGGTAAAAGAAACTGTGGAGACAGTGGAAAGAAGGTCCCCGCAGGGCTGAAATGCGGGGTTCCTGGCACAAAATGGTTTATGTTTGTCCTCTTGAAACATCTTTTTTTCTAACAACTTTGGATCATAGCTTTAAATAAAACAAAAATAGTCCAGGGTATGCCTTCTCCTGACTTCAGTCTCCTGACTGAGAAGTCAACCACAACCAATACAATACGTATTCCTAACTGATCTTTCTTCCTAAAACTGGCTGATGCAACAGTTTTGCTACAGAGGAATTCTGTATCAGCATCTTTTTTTCACTGAAATCTTCCCAATACCTGTTTTAGCTGCAGCTAACACAATGAGCACACTGCATGACATAACAGTAATTTCCTTAAATCTTATTATTAACATTACAGTGACTTGCTCCTTTGCAAGCTCCTGGAAGTTGCCATTGCAAGAGGGTGGGAAATACAATGGCAGTATGTTGCATTGCACACTATTTCCAGTAGGTAGCTATGTATTATAGTGAAAAAATCTTCAGGTGAGTATAAAGTCCCAGGTTTATCTCTCTGATCATAGTACAATGGATCACACAGTTTATTTCACATTAGGCTAATCCCTAACTATACTGTTAATTTCAGCACAAGAACAAGAAATAGATATAGATATATGTACACCTTCTGTTTCTACTAACGCTGTCTAACAGAGCAGTGGAAGAAATTAAATTGCAGGCTTCTGGTGATATGCATAAATTAGTCATTTGAGTGGTTTGAGAGACAGTCTAACACACCTTTCCAACAGGTTTGCACACTAACTAGAGAAGACAATCGTGAAATTGGTCAAACCCCAGAAGATGAGCAGCTCCATGTACTCCCATTATACAAAGTCTCTGATGTGGATGAGTTCGGAAGCACGGAAGGCCAGGAGGAGAAGAAGAGGAATGGCAGCATCCAGGTCCTTACCTCCTTTCGCCGAAAAGTAAGGATGTTGGCAGAGCCCGTTAAGACATGTCGGCAAAGGAAGCTAGAAGCAAAGAAAGCAGCTGCCGAAAAGCTTTCCTCCTTGGAGAATGGGTCTAGCAAATCTGAAAGAGAAAAGTCTGCTGCAGCACGCAACAAGCAAGGCAACTCAGAGGTGGCAGGTCATGCAAAGCAGCTAGCAGGTAAACACGTGAATCTGATTGGGGTCTTTATCAGCAGTGGTAAGCTTCCTAGAAATCGGGGCCATTTATAACAAATCTCAAGAAAACCATTGTTCTCAGCCCAAAACCATTTTAAAGTAAAAAGAAAAGAGAATTCTTCAAAGTAACGGCAATATTGTAGGTTTATAAATACTAGAGTGCCAAATTGTGGTCAACTCTGGAGAAGCAGGGTAAAAAAAAGTTGTAGGAGAAACCCTTTAGTTTTGGATAGTTAACACCTGTAGAAAGCTGGTGCTTCTGCAAACTGCAAACTCTTGCCATCCAGTGTAATGTAAAGTATCTTTAAAAGAATAGTAGTGCTAGAAGCCATGAAAAGGAGTTTGTGATGCTGCTGCCAAATTAAAAATGACCTACGCATCACTCACTGTCTGCCACTCTTAGAGAACCTCCTAATTTGAGGGGATTCAAGCTTAACCTCTTTCCTACTATTTGTACTCTCTGCTTCAAGACCAAAAGCAGAGTAGGTTTTTCCATAGCGGAGGAAGAGTTTTAAAATCCACTTAACAATCCCTGGCAGTTTCACCAGTAGATTTGAGCATCCTGAGCAAAGGAGTTCGTCATGTCTGTTTTATTGTTACAGCAACTTTCTCAGAGAGGAAAACAGCAATGCACCCAAGGTCACCCAGAAGGTCACTGAAATACCTATGAATAGAAGCCAGTTGTCCCATGACCCAGGCTAGGGTCATAACCATTGAATGAACCATTTCACTTTAACAAATGATGGTTCTGCTCTTACGTCTTCAATTCATCTCACTTGTTACTAAACTGTAGTTTCTGTCAGTGAATGCCACCATTGGTTTTTTACATAAAGCTAAGAACATTTTTTTGAGACGGTTCTATTAATACAGATGAGAAGAACTATTTATTTTTGGGAAAAAGAAGGTCACTTCGTGCACGGCTGTTTGGAAGCACTTTGATGCTGCATTTCATGGGCTACTTAAATGATGATTCAACTCTTTGGATTGTATGCATGTGACTCTGAACAGCTTGCACTGTCCTCTTTTTCCCTGTTGCCACTAGCATCTGATCTCACTGGATACATGCCAAAAAAGATGAGTAGCCTTAGTATTTATTCAGCTTCTTAAGGATGGTATTTGAGATATGAGAAAGGGAACCTCTGTTAACCTATCATATGATATATGTTTCTTAGAAATGTCATGGATATGTATAGTGAAGGGTCTATAAAGTACAGAGTTGGTTGTTTGGTTGCTCGGGTTTTTTAAAGCTTGTTTGTTGTGTGGATTTTTTCTTTTCACATCTACAGATCTTTTACGTCTTTCAGGACCAGCCACACAACAACAGCAGCAGCAGCAACATCCACAGCGCACTCTCCCTAACAACCCTCAGTCAAATCCTATTAACTCATACTCGGGTTCAGGTTCTGCAAATCTCTATGTAAGGTTGCCTAATCCAGCCAATGCTTATTCAAGCTCTTCATACACTTCAGATCCCTATGGAGGGTCCAGTCCCATGAACCTCTATACAACCTCATCACAGCCTGCGGGGTCTTATTTGAATTCTTCCAGTCCCATTAACCCTTATTCAGGATCATTAAGCCAGAATAACCAATATCCACCTTACCAATGCAATGGAAGCATGCCTATGGACAACTGCCCCTCTTACTTGGGCTCCTACCCTTCCCAGCATCAGCACATCGACTTGTATAGTTGCCAGAGCCAAGACCATATGTCTAAACTAAGTCTGCCACCCATACAAACATTATACCAGCATAGGTTTGGGAATAGCCAGAGTTTTGGTCCCAAGTACTTGAATTACGGAAACCAAAACATGCAGGTAGACTCCTTCAGTAATTGCACCATTAGACCAAATGCACACCATGTAGGGTCTTTCTCCTCTTACTCCACCCACGAGGCTGATGGCCATTTTATGGAGGTTACCTCAAGGTTAAAATCTAATCTGAGTAATCAGAGCATGGATTATGCCTCCATGACTAAAACCAGTGAACATCATCACATGCAACCCCTTCCACATTTAGCACATGACTACCATTCTGCTCCAAGTATGTTCAGTGGCCCTCCCAATTCACTGCATCTCCAAAATAAGGATAGTGAAATAATTTCACATGCAGTTAACGGTTTGTCTAACATGCTTCCAGGTCAAAACCATGATAGGACTACTCCCCAGGGTGGTTTAGAGAAAACTGATGTGCTGAATCCAGAAAAAGCAGAGGATCCCGATGATGTCTGGTCAGATAGCGAGCAGAACTTTCTGGATCCAGAAATTGGAGGAGTGGCAGTTGCTCCATCTCATGGGTCAATTCTCATAGAGTGCGCAAAGCGTGAGCTCCACGCAACAACTCCCTTAAAAAACCCCAACAGGAACCATCCCACCAGAATTTCCCTTGTCTTTTACCAGCACAAGAGTATGAATGAGCCAAAACATGGTCTGGCTCTGTGGGAGGCAAAGATGGCTGAGAAGGCAAGAGAGAAGGAGGAAGAATGTGAAAAGTACGGTCCAGACTACGTGCCTCAGAAATCTTATGGCAAAAAGGCAAAGCGGGAGCCTGCTGAGCCACACGAACCCTCTGAGCCAACGTACTTGCGCTTCATCAAGTCTCTTGCACAAAGGACACTGTCGGTCACCACAGACTCCACAGTAACTACATCTCCATATGCCTTTACACGGGTTACAGGGCCTTACAACCGATATATCTAACTTCACACCTTTGTTGGTTACCTCATTTGAAAAAACACCCTGTCAGTAGGGTAGTTCCTCTTTAGGTTTTGGGGAAGGCAAGGGTGGAGAAGGAAACAGTGTTTTTACAAAACTCATCAGTGGAAAAAGCCTCAGCACACCAGCAAAAGGAGGTAATCTCACTAGCGCACTTATTTTCCACTGGTTTTTAAGTGGCCACAGATGGCACGTAGGAAACAAGACCAAAGCATCCTATGCAAAAACGAAACAAGAAAGTGTTTCACAATTTACATTTGAAAACACTGGCTCCATTACTGAAAGAGATAATCTGCAAATGGATTTTTTTTTTCCTTACAGTTTTGCACATCTGTGGCCACTTTTAATGTCATCAAGTTTGCATAGTCATGGAACAGGAGCAAAAAAAACCCCTAAAAAATAATACTGTAGTATTACAACTGCAGGAATCTTAAAATAACATCTGGTGCTGAATCTATAATGTACTGAAATACTGGAATTATGACTTTTTAACATGCAGTTTTTACTGTAAACTTATTAGTCTCTTGATTTTATTTAACTAAGTAGTTAAGTATAAAACATAATGAATAGACAGCAAAACACTGAATTTATTTGGATATTCTAAACCCATGGTGCTATCTATGAGAATGTTGTCTTTATTTTAACAGTCGAACAGTTAATGCCTTTATAACAAAATGTCAGTGATGTAGTCAGATGTTCTTCAGCAACAGGGACGACCTTTTCATTCATGTATGTATTGAATTTACCTGGTGTTAAAATAAGCTTACTTTTTAACATATGAGAATTGCAAAGACCTCTGGATTTTGCTCATCCAGTCAAGTCCTAGAAAAGGACAATAAAATATATAGAGAGATATTTTTTTGAACTAGTGTTTCAAAAGCACTTTGTCTACCTAAGCTTGGCAACTTGAACAATGCTGAGGTACTAAGACATTAAAAAAAAACCTTAAAAAAAAAAGGAAAAAAAAAAGAGTTTACTTTGATTTTAAAATGCAAAGATAATTTTTTTAAACAAAAAAAAGCTTTTAAAGACTTTTTGTTTTAGCCATGCATCTGCTAGTGGGCTACATATCCATTTTTAATACAGTCAGTTATGGTAAAAACGGGGCTTACTGGATATAAGGGAATACTTTAGTACACAAAACACATGTTTTTCTGGTGCTCATCTCACACAGCTATACTGTAAAACCGTTTTCTACAATTATTATGACAAGTTCATTGCTCAAATATGTACAGTTTTAAGGAAAGGATTTTATATTAACCACAGGTAATAATTAGCAGCATGTGACAGACTACAACTAGCTAGCTTGGGCTTCTGCTGTTTCTACAGATCTGTATGCTCTTCAACTATCGAATGGCAGATTGCTTTTGTGTTGATAATTATGTACATTGTGGTGTAAGTCATTTCTTGGTGCAAGTGTCCTCTTTTTCCAGGAAGATCGAGCAGACCAATGCCTACACAAGCTGAATGAAACAGGGTTAGTTCTGTGTGATTCCGTTGATTAAATAGATAAAACATAGGCAGCTGGCTTGCTGTGGTGGTTTTAACCATTAATTTCTATTAAAAAAAGAAAAAAGCAGGAGAGTTGTATAGTAAATTAAATTGTAAACAAAACTTTTTTTAACGCAATGCTTTAGTATTTTAGTACTGTAAAAATATTAAATCTATATATATTTGGGTTTTGAGCTGAATTCACATCATGGTGCTACTCAGCCTGCTACAAATATATCATAATGTGAGCTAAAAAAACACATTAAAAAGGTTTGAGTGATGTTCCTACTTGTCATATACCTCAACACTAGTTTGGCAATAGGATATTGAACTGAGTGTGAAAGTTTATATATTGTACACCATCTTTTCCCCCAATAGCCTTTGAAAAAAGAAAAAGCATAAAAAAAAAAAACAAAACACAAAAAAACTCTCTCAATACTTGACATTTTAGCAAGTATCACTTGAACTTCAGCTTTGGTTTTTGTTTTATCTTGTTGGTTCTAAAAATTCAGGGATATTTCAGCTCATGTTCTCCTATGCCAACGTGTCACCTGTGTGTGTGTAAAGCTGTTGTAGGTTAAATATCTTATTCTTGGGTTTTTTTGTTTTGTTTTGTTTCTTTTTCCTTCAGGGATTTGATGCTTTCCTTTTGAATCCCTTCTCTAAGTTTTCTTGTACATTGTATTGCTGTAACTAATTT